TATGCATTGGCTCGTGCTTAGCACCAGTTTTAAGTAATTTGTTTTTGGCTGAAATGGACAGGAGGCTATCAGGACGCCTAAATGAATACAATGTTGTGCACGTATTTAGGTACGTCGATGACTTTTTAGTGTTTATCAATGACAGAACTGCAGATTTTGCTACTCAATGTAATAGCGTGTGTAGCGTTTTTCGTGAGGGGCTTAACCCACTTGAAGTGACTTTTGAAATGCCATGTGACGGAAGGCTCAGATTTCTTGACATTAACTTTCAATTCTCAGATGAAAAGACATGCTGGTGTTACGAGCCCAGAGCAAGTAAGCCTTTACTACAGTTTCACTCAGCGCATACTAAACTGGTAAAACGAGGCATTGCGAAGATGTGCTTGAGTGAGGCACTAAAGAAGTCCTGCCGGTGCCTCATGAATGAAAGCTTCAGACAACAGGTCTCGAGGCTAAGCAATGCCGGGTACCCCAAGAGCCTCGTCGTGTCCGTTGCTGAAGGATTGCACAGAAAAGTGCTGGAGAAAAGATGTGAAGGGATGGATAGGGTGAGCTCAAGAAAGGAAAGTTTTGCCGTAATTCCATACATGCATAAGGTTTCTCACAGGATAAAAAAGATTGCGGAAAAATGTGGCACTAACGTAGTTTTCTCGGCACCCAATAAGTTGGTGAGTCTTTGCAGAAGCACAAGACCAGACAAGGGAAAATCAAATGTATGCCAAAAGAAACATAGAAACCTATTTGTGGAGTGCATCATGTGTGTTGTATACCTCATTCCACTTACTTGTGGAAAGTGTTATATCGGTCAGACCAGTAGATGCATAAACGATCGCTTGCGCGAGCACAATAACAAAGTAAATAGTGTTGTTCCTGATGGTTTTCTTTCCCTTCATTGCCAGAGATGTAAGTGCACACCGAAATTCAAGGAAACGGTTATAATCAATAGAAGTAGGCACGAGATGACGCGGTTGGTATTGGAGGCCGGCAGAATTGCAGAGCTAGGTGACACGTGTGTGAGCAGCCCATCAGTGGTGTTGACAGATAAGGAACTTGATTACATGTATTCGCGATAGGGTTTGTGGTAACATGGGATAAAAGGAAGAAAGAAAAAGTAAAAAAAGATTGAAAAATATAAAATTGTAAAGTATTGGAACACGCGCGTTGGTTATATTTGATGGTTTTTAGAGCTACGCACGTGCGACGTTGGCGTGGTGGATCGCATACACCACGGAGATCTGCGTGTAATAAACTGTTGTTGAAAGTTAGCGCTGTGTTGTGTCTATGTGCCTTCTCTTGTCCGTGTTCGTTGTCTGCGCTACCATCCATCATCATGCAACCATACCAACAAGCCCAAATCGCCACCCTCATTGCTAATTTTAGCCTGCTTCTTAGTTTTTGAAGTGCAACAGAATTGAAAGTTGGGCTAGTTGGATATGCATGGTATAACTGTCAGTTCCGCAAGAAGAGAGTTTCCGCAATGTCGCATGAAACACAGCAAAAAGTTCATGGACTGCACAATGGGCGTTGTTTACATGACTCCTTTTAGCTGTGGTAAAGTGTACATCAGTCAGTCGGGAAGGTGCGTCAATGTTCGTCTCAGAGAGCACGATTCTTCTTTGAAATCTTTGGGTGCATCGCATCTCGTGGCTCATTGCAGAGAGTGCGGTTGTTATCCTCTTTTTCAAAATACTGAAGTGGTTTTTCGATCTAAAAATAAATTGACTCGTGAGTTGGCAGAAGCTTTTCACATAAGAAAAAGAGAGGAACAATGCGTCAGCCAGCCTTCGGTTTTGCTGCACGATAAAGAGTTTGCTTTTCTAGATTATGTTCCGAGATAATCTTTCTTCTTTTACCCTGTGTTCTCGATGTGCCACGGGTGTACTTTTTTGCCTGCACACGCATGCGTTGTTTTTAATTGCCTGTATATATATTCTGCCCTTTCTAATAAACAGTTTAGTTGCGAGAAAGCACTTGCCCTCTCTTCCTTTCTGTTCATTCGTGTGCTTGAACTAACAGTTATACCAGTTTTTGAAGTGTTTCTTCATTTTTTTAAGTGTTTTTTCGTGTCATTTTTTGAAGTGCTTCTTCGTTTTTGAAGTGCTTCTTTGTTTTATCAAGGCTGTTCAGGTGCGACAGCCCGGTTTCGTCCATGTGGCCTATACAACGGCGAATGGTGCCAAACGCTGCCGCCACTTCAGCAACAGAGTACGCGCGTGTAGCCAGCGCCTCGTCCGGACGATTCTCCTTGTGACGTGAGCTGTCGATCTGGAAATTTCAGTCCACTTCCACGAAGTTGTCTGCAGACACTTCGTGTGGAACTGCTGCCGGGAAGCGGGACGACAGCTTTCGAAACGCGTCATCTATGTGCTCGTTGTCGTTGTCTTCTCGCGTTCCCGCAAGTTCTGCTGTGTTGAAGCCTACCTTGCCGAAGCAGTTGCCACTGTGTCTGTCTTCACGCCTTGCCAGGCATTGAAGATGTCCGCGAGAGAAAACTTTGCGGAGATTTTTGGCCACTCCTTCGTCATCAACTGCTGGATGTCCCGGCGGCTGACAGCTTCGCTTTCGCCAAGATTGGTTTTGCCAACGATGTTGTAGCACTACTTAAATCGGTGATACGACTCGCTGTTGTCAACAGCAAGTGAAGCCACTCGCTGTTGTCAACGAAGTTGTTTCACCGAGTGCAGCAGCAAACCATTTGGCCTTGGCGATCAGCATCAGGCTATCCATCGGATTGTTCTTAGTGCGCACTTATAAAAAGCAGGCATACAGTGCCTTTTCTACATTCCCATGGGCAGAAGCGCGCACATGACTGGCTCCCGATGACCGCTGCCTTTGCCTTGATATCTGCCTTGTTTTTCAACAAGGTACTCGGAGTGCTCCGTGGTATCCCGAAGTCGTCTGCGACAGTCGAACACGCTGAATGGCCTTCAATTTCGTCGCAAAGTCAAGGGCCTCTTACTTCTTGATGCTGGCCATAGCTACACGTGAAGTCGACAATTCAAGGAGTCCACAGGGACTTTGCACACCACGCACGCAAAAGAGAAATGTTGCACATACAGTGGTACGTAAGCAACGTGACAGCGCAAGCAACAAAGCGCTTGCGAGGCAATGGCCACCTGCGAGGGCAACAGCAAAAAGCGTGAGCTGTGGTTGGCTGATCAAAACTCGCAAAACAGCAACAAAAAATAAAAGGCGAAAGGAGGAGGACGTCGGCTCCTTCGTTCCTGCTCTTTGAGCGAACTGGTACGGGGAGAAAGCATAAGAGGGAGAAAGAGAAATGAAAAAAAAGCTGCTTCGTAAGTTAGAGATTGTGCAGTCCGAGCCCTTTTGCCTTTATCTTTTTTCAAGTGTTTCGGGTTTCGGTGGAGGCGTGGTGATGTGCGGAGGTCGCCAGGCGCTGCGAAGGCCAAAATGCGCCTTCCAACTTGCGCACGGAGCTGCGCTGCCACAGCCATCGCAAGGGGCGGGGGAGGAGAGGCGAGAGTGTTGAAGCGCATCCTCCAATTCGCGCGGCGTTGGATATATCCAAAGGTGGCTATAAATACCGTTCGATATAAACGTGCAAATTTTCATACTTTTACTAAATAATTTCAAGGGGATAACTTGCGAGTTCGATATACGCGAAAATTCGATATAAGTGGTTTTGATATAACCGTGTTCGGCTGTATATCTGCTCTGGGCTACTGAATAAAGTATAGTTGCGGAATGGCGCTCATGTTCGCGTGATCATTTGTTTTTTCTTCTGCTTTGTTGAGCCGCTCTAGATCCACGGCTCTGAAGACCAATCTGGTTGCTTGTAGGTTGTTCCTAGGCTCTGGCTAGGTGATGCAGTTTGTTTCTAGGCTGCTTCAAGCATAGAGTTTCCTAATATTAGCTAAAATTAACTGGTTCTGCGATCGTTCAGCGACCATAGGAATGATGGATAGTGCACGGATTTGCCTAGTTTTCGTGCTTGCAGGCTTTGAATCGCACTTGTGGCTTCATTTATTCCTGTGTTTTCATTTCGTTTTGAAGCAAAGAACGAACAGTTATAAACTTCAGGAGCCGATTTTAAATGGTGAGCCTAAAAAGTTATAGTGAAGTGCAACTGTTGAACATTAGCCGATTGTCATTTCGTAACAAAGCAACTCCCTAGCCATGCAAAGCCAACCGGAGCCGAAAGTACAGAAGTTTGACAAATTCATGTACTAACATATTTGCACAGTGCAAAACTACGAGTAGTTGCGACGTAACTACAGAAGAAGAGACAAGGACAGAAAAAGCGCAAAAAAAAAACAGCACTCTTTCTGTTTTTGTCTCTTTTTCTGTAGTTATGTCGTAACTACTCGTAGTCTTACGCTGTGCAAATATGTTGATTGCCAATCACCAACTAGCCCAAGCATCTGTCTTTTCATGTACTACCCATCATTCCCATGCTCGCTGAAGCTCAGTGCACTGCAGCTCCATAGACACTAGTGCCAAAGTTTCCTCTAGTGTACTTATAAGACACTGTGTCTTCAACGTCGTTGCTAGGCTTTAGATAGGGGTTGCTAGGTTGCTTCTAAATCGATTCTCAGCACAGACAGGTTCAAGTCAAACCACGGACAGTCACAGACACTATGTGTAAGCCCAAACTCTAGAGAGAGAAAGTTTCGGGGATAACTCTCATAGAGACCCCTTCTCGGTCGCTCCGCTCGCAGATTTACAGGAATGTCGTCATTGGTGAAGGCGTGCCATCACTTCATGGCGTTTTCCCAGCCACTGCCGCCTTTCCCATTACCTTGTATTGCCATTGTTCTGCAGCCATTTGTTGGGCTAATCTTTGCCTTCTTTATTTTTAATGGACCAGAGGTCAGTAGTGGGGTCCACCTATATTCTGTGGCATATACTCGCTCATGATGATGATTGTTTTCTCATAGACTGGGCAAATTACGGCTAGTAAGATATTTTCTGTTAAAATGATATCATTTATCCTGTGAACTGCGCGCCAAGCTCAGCCACCAGTTGGCTTGCTTTTCCAGTCATTCTTTCACACGGCGCTGCAAAACAGCATCTTCTGCGGCACGGTGGCCGACCAGAATCTGCGGCTGGTCAACTGGAAGCGCCGCCAGGGTTGCCAGTGCCAGCACCGCCATGTCGTTGACTGGTGTGGGTGCTCACCAAACGTCTTCCGCACCGATGACTGGCCTCGCATTCAGGTGGGTTGCCGCCTGTGTTACATATCGGAGAATGTGCAGTAAAACCTCGGTAGTTCAGATTTCACGGGAACGAAACATCGTTTAGAGACATACTGTTGCACTCGTAGCTAATTTTTTTTTTCTGTTTTTGTGGTAATCTTGTTTTCATAGTTATCCACCTTTAAGTAAGAATACTATGTTACTCTGTGTATTCCCCCCTGCAATAATTCCTTTGGGTGCTGCAGGTAATTTGAGTAAATAAACAAAGCGTCTATTTATCGCAAGTGTTAAAAAACAATAGACAAATGTCTGTTACATCGATAAACTTTCTTTTTTTTGTGAATCTGTAAATCCTGTACTTTGGTTGCATGAGAACAATGCAAAAACCGTAATTTTCGTCATCCTGCGACTTCGTTCTCTGTGCCACGACTATAGAGTTTCTTACAACTACACTACAGCGAACTCTGGCGCTACATTTTACAATAGCTGCAACCCACGGCGCTTCATCTAGTACGGTAATGATGGGTAGTGCTAAAATTTGTCTGATCTTCGTTCTTTTGGCTTCGTGAGGTTCCGTATGGCCTCAATCCGCTTTGCGGCTAGACAAAGTTCAGCAAAGGTTTACCGGTTGCAGGTCGCCACCTTAACCATTTAGGCTCACCGATTCTGATCGGATTGCGAAGTTCCCACCGATTCATTCTTTTGTTCAGAAGGAAACCAAAAGACGGCAAAAACAAAGCCGCAAGCACGTTCGAAGCCACAAGCACGAAGACTAGTCATTTTTGTGAACTGCCCATCACCCTCATAGCAGCTGAACTATTTCAGCGCCAGAGTCCCCTCTAGTTAATTTTACGAAACTCGATGGTGACTACGGCGCCTGGCTCTCATGTTTAATTACCGCGAAACGTGCACTGCACCCCTCTGCTGTTATATACCGTCCTAACCAACATCACCACATGCACGTGATAACAAGCATTTCGCCAAAAATTGCCGGGAACTGATAGCGTTCATTGCGATTCAGCAAAACGAGTTTTGTGCCAGCCTGCTGGCCACAGCTGAAACCTCACTTTCAGCAGCTTCTGCCGTGTCTGAGTTGTTTTGTGACATTGCGCACACACTGCGGCAAGTTAAAATAAAGCGGCTGTGTGCTGAACGGCACGTGGATTGAACTATGGTCCCCAAGTAATGAAAGTGACAATGTGGACAGTGCTGCCTCCTTTCATTTGTCTGCGACATTTGCGACCCTTTGCACTCAGTGTGCTCAGAGGAATGTCCGAATTAACCAGGTTGCGGAGAATGTGACCAAATTAACGAGAGTTTCATACCATTACTCAGTGCTTATACTGGCTATGACCAGGAAGTACATCCGAATAATCGAACTTTCTAAATTAACGAGAGTTGAATGAATGAGATTTTGCTGTACGATCGAACCTCTTAAGAAGAGACCCTGATGTAAGAGACAAATGAAAACATTACATCATATTGGTACGTAGGTGTCAATATTTGTGATAATCTAACCTGGTCTTTGCATGTTGAGAATTTAATTAACAGCGCTAATCGCATGTTAGGCTACTTATGCCGCAACTTTCGTTTTGCACCAGTCTTATTGAAAACACTGTTATACAAAACATCAGTTAGGTCAGAACTGGAATACGCAGCTTCAATTTAGGACCCCAGCTATGAAACTCTCATTAAATCATTAAAACTAGTCCAGAATAACGCCGCTCATTTCATTGTTCACAATTACAGCAGAACATGTAGTGTTTCATCCATGAAAAATTCCTTGCAATTACCTCATCTGGCAACCCGTCGCAAACACGGTAGGCTTCAATTCTTCCATAAAATTTATTACCACAACTCTATTCTACGCACAGCTCTCATTTCCCCACCTTCGTATGTTTCGTCCTGCACTGACCACCCTCACAAAGTAGGCATTATGACGTGCCTCACTAACACTTGTTTTCAGTCATTCATTCCTTGTACATCGAACCAATGGAACCACCTTCCCGGACCAATTGCTGGCATTCAAGATAATGAATGCCACTCTGCATTCATTCCGCTCTGCATTATTAACAATGTAACAGATGTTAAGTGTATATGTTTAGTTGTTGTTGCTGCTGTACTTTATTTCTTTGTTGTATTGCTCCCTTTACATGAACCCCCACTCCCCTCTGTAATGCCCTTGGCCTTGAGGGTAAAATAAATAAATAAATAAAATAAATAAATAAATAAATAAAAGACACCAGTGTGTTTACAGCAAAATACGGATTAATGAAAAAATGCCCAGGTGGTGCCCACCTATGAGGGGCACATCATATAAAAGACAAGAATTGCTCCCCGCTGCATGTCTATTTGTATTTTTTTCAGGTCCTGAAGCTTATTTGCACCTGCTGGTAAAGCTTGCCTCATAGTCTTTGTTCTTCTGACGTCGATACTTTCGGTGCTCTATTCAATGGTGGCGTCAGTCAGGTCTTTGTTCACTAAAAGGGCATCATTGGAGACTCTTCTGAAGACAAAAGCTGCCTATTCAGCGCACACGCAGAGACCCGTTGTTGGGGTAACTTTCACGCCAAGATGCACAAAAGGTGCCTTAACGACAAGTCTCGTTGTGCCTGTGTGTCAGGCACATACAAAAACAGCTTTCAATTTTCAGTGAGGGCTCAGAAATTAAAAGTGTTGTTTTAGTTGGTTAGTTAAACTTTTTGTTTCGCACATCTTGAGCATCCATTACCGTAACGCATTCTATAAGGAATGTGGCAGTGTAAGTTTGCCTGGCATACTTGCAAGGCAAAGATAATATGTATGGAGAGCTTAGGGACATCAAAGTTCAGAAACAAGTGAACAGAAGTAATGAAGTGCTAATGCCCACATCATTTTTGCATGAAGTTTGAAACAGCTCCTCTCTATTGTTTCTTGCTTTCTTGTTCTTTTTCAATCAGGCCACTCGCGATCGTCCAGTCTTCTTTGCCCGGAAGTTTGAGTCATCAGTCAGCCGTAAAGTGCTAGACCAGGTGGACGTGTGGATCGCGGAGTCGCGACCACACCTCTCATCAGCTGGCCCCGTCGTGCCGCCCACTGGCTACTGGCAGAACGAGTTCGACAGCGGTGATGGCGTGGCTGCGGACGACGTCAAGTTGACGGTCTATGAGAGTCTGGCGAGGCTCGCCGACCGTCACCTCGGTTCGTTCTGCGTCATCGGCCGCAACCATAGCCTTTCTATTGATGCCATTCATCTATACTTCTTCGGAGACCAATTTCAGGCGAGTACCGAGTACCACTTGGTAACAGCACAGCATTGACTTAGTGCCACGTGGTTGGCTTTCGTGCCCTGAAAAGCGTAGCAGCCACACTTTCACTAAGCGCCGTCATGTGCGGGAGAGTCGCATGACCTGAGCAGAAGGGTCACGTGGTATGTTGCTGCCAGACTAGCATGGCACTGTAGACACTGCGTCTGGCAGTAGTGGTGGTGGCGGTAGTGGTAACTGCAAAGTGGTGTGGCATACCGTATTTACTCGATTCTAGCGCGCCCTCGATTGTAACGCGCACCCGGTTTCCACGACGAAAAAAAAAGTAAGACATGAATTGCAATGCGCACCTATTTTTCTCGTTGGTCGGCACGATCACACCACTCGGGAAAACGACTCCTTTCGAGAGCGTCTTCCATTTAAATATGAGTTACGGGGCAAGCTTGTGCCTATCTGACGTGCAACGGAGCATTGCCATCACTCTAGTTTTACCGTGGCCCGATGTCAGCACGCGAACTTGCTTCGCCCCCTTCTTCTCGACGATTGCGGTGACATGCATGTCGAAGTAAAGAGGCATCTGATCGGCATTCCCGATTTGCCCAAGCAGGTAGCTGTTGTGCCGCAAGTTTAGAACGAATATCTGAAAACTGTGAAGCTTTTCTTTGTACTCCACCGGCAACTTTTCGCATATGCCCGTTTGCCTTCGGAGGGAAAAGCCTTTCCTCTTCATAAAGTTAGTTAGCCAGCACCTGCTCGCTTTAAACTGGCTCCGCATTAGCCCTTTTTCTAAGGCTAACTGCATAGCCCGCACTTGGAGCAGTTCTGTCGTCACGGGCCGCTGTGCCGCTCACTGCTCAATCGCATACTCGCCGAGCAGCTCTTCAATTTTCGAAAACCGACCCTGCTGTGGTCCACGCGATGACTTTTCTTTTAAAAGCGGCATCGTGGTGCACTCGTCGAGTTTTTAAAGTCGGCCCTTCCAAGCCATCGATGCTAATGCACTACAAGATGACGAACTCCTCAGCACACGTACGAAGTGCCACTCATGGGAAACACATGAGCAGAAATGGCCGACGCGCCATGCCGACGCACGTAGGGGGCAGCCATTTTGGAAATGCCGATCGCAATAGAATGGCTGTATTCATTTTTTTTTTTCTACACGATTCTAACGCGCATGCAATTTATGAACTCGATTAACTGGAAAAAAAGGTGCGCGTTAGATTTGAGTAATTACGGTACTTCATTGGTGCCCCACCAGGCACACAGGACAGCCGCGGACACAGGAAAAATAGCTATGCTTGCGCAGTGTCAGGCCAAAGCTGCCCTTTTATTCAAACTTTGTGTCGGTGATATGATTTCGTATGTGGACATCTTGCATATGACCGCAACAGAAAATTTCTCAACTGCAGTTACAAAAGAATGTTCTAGAGATAGGTAAATAGTAAGTTCGAGATTTGAAACGAATAATAATTTGGTCGAATAATTTCAAATTGACTAGTAGTTCAATAGAATACTATATGACATATTAAGAAAAGTTGGAATTTTTGTCTTTACCCAACTAACTTGCCCAATGTTTTTAAGAATTTGAACAAGCAATGCATGAATGCAACGTTTTGGTCCATAGTGGAGTGGAAGCAACTTTGAATAGTATCAAGATTGGTATGGCAGTAGGGTCACAGTTATAACTAATACAATACAGTACTGTCCACTCATAGTGATGCCACATATAACGACAGCTTGACTTAACCGTCTCATTTTGTGCGTTGGGTCTATGGGGAAAAAAAAAAAAACTCGCATATAACGATACGTTATCTACTGTATGTCGGTTACAATGATGAAAAGTTTGCCGTCTGGATGGCATGTTCCATGCAGAGTAATCTTAATGTTTACATTCATAAGTTATGAAACGAAATATGCCGAGATAAGACAATAAGTTCGCATAGATGAGTTCGAATCCATCGCCATTGCAGCACTGTGCCGACAGCGTGTGCCGACCGTTTCAAAAAGCCAAGGAGAGCATCGAGAGTTGGCGCAGTGGGCTACTAGATGGGGCCAGCAGTACCGCATTTTGCGCCTCGCCGAGCCTAGACTGAGGGATAAAAAACAATGGAAAAAGCAGAACAGTGCGCTTCGCGGCTGATTGCCCCCTGCTCATCACTTGCCGAACGAAAGCGCAAAAGGAGAGAGACAACAAAAACATGAAAAGCAAAGCGACGCAATGGCATCTGGCTGTACTCGCTCACCCCCACCCACTCGCTGGTCGGTCTCTCCTCCTCAGCGATCGCGCGAGCTACTGCAAGAATGGAGCAGAGACAAACCTCGAAAAACATGGCGTCGACAAAGCAAAAGGCTGTGACGCTTGACACAAAGTACGAAAATTTTGCAGGATTCGCGACGTGATTTCCAAGTGAGCGCCCTCGTAAAAAATATGAGCTCGCCCAGTCAACAGTATCAACAATCTTCAAAGTTGGAAGCATCACAATTTTGAATTCTAAAAGCAGTGGGCTTGCCGACGAGCGGATTTCTTGTATGTGGATGTAGAGGAGGCGCTCTACCAGTGGTTCCTGTCGATCTATGCCCATAATGTGCCGATTAGTGAGCCAATGCCTGTCACAAAGGCGAAAAACGTTGCTTTTCTCATTCGTCAGCCAAATTTTAAACCCGGAGGCGGCTGGGTACAAGGACACAAAGACTCATTAACCAGCGCGGCATTGTATACAAAAATGTGGTGGGAGAAGCATCTTCTCTTGATGCACAGGCAAAGCAGCAGTGACTCCACACCAACATACGTGCACTGATGAAGCACTTCTCTGAAAGAGATATTTACAACTGCAATGAGACTGCCCTTTTCCTTTAAATGACACCGTTGAAGACGCATGCCTTGAAAGGCGATCCGTGCCTGGGCGGAAAGCAGTCCAAGGTTAGGGTAACCGTATTACTTTGTGGGAATATGGACGGCAGCGATCGGCTGAAGTACTTTGTGATCAGCGATCCAAGAAGCCTGTATGCTCCACGAATCAGCACATTTTGGTTTGCTATATAGACAACAAGAAGGCGTGGATGACCTGTGTCTTGTTTGAGGAGTTGCTGTCTTTGAAATTCGGGGGCGGAAGATTGCTACTAAGTAACTGTAGTGCACACAACCCGACGCTACCGTCAATTGAATTGATGCTCTTGTCGCCTAATACGATGGCAAGTTTGCAGCCGCTGGACGCCGGCGTGATTGTAAAGTTCAAGGCGTTATACTGGTGGCGCATACTCGAGTAGCTTGTGTTGAAGATTGATCGGTCGGCTCCCAGCACGTCTAACAGTGCAGAAGTGCCTCCTGATTTGAAGATCGGCCTTCTAAAGGCTGTACACTTCGTTTACAGTGCACGGTATGAAGTGAGGCAAACCACCATTCAAAACTGCTTCAGAAAGACAGGTTTTGTGCGGCAAGACCAGCCTCCCTCGTCTAGTGACTGCGAAACCAGCACGGAAACTGCGGATATGACAGAGCTTTGGGAGCACGTCGCTCGCAACTGGTGACACAGATAGTGGGCGTGACGCATCGGTTGAGGACTTCCTGATAGCAGACAGTGCTGCATCGATTTGAGATAAACTGGCGGACGAGGCAATCGTCGTGGATGTGTTGTCGTGACAGACAGCAGCATTGTGCAACGGCAGTAGCAACAGCAATGAGGAGGTTGACAGCGCCCCTAGGACCCCGTCAATAGCCAAGCAAAGTGAACTAACATAAACCGAATTGCTAATAAACTTCATGCACTCAGGTCTATGGCACCCACAGATGATAATATACTTTATCTTTACCGATTATGAACTACGAAGGACCCAGCACCTGTCTTCAAAGTCTATGACGTCGCGGTGTTTGACGCAGGAATCTCAAGGTGGCATCTCCAGTTGCATTTTCGCTCGTTTTCTTGCGTACCAAGCATCATGTCGCAGCGAGAGCGGTGTTTGCGAGATTGTGAAACTGTACTTTACTAATAATCGAAAAATCGTTTTGCTCTTTAGTGTCTCTTTAAAGAAAACTAACGAACATTGAAGCCAAGGAAGGGATAGGGGATGTTACTTGTAGTCTTTTAACAGCATTGCAGCAATGATCTTATAAACCTGAACAAACTAAACTGAATGAAAAGACTGCTAGCAACTGGCAGGGACCAAAGCTGAAGCCTTCGGATAACACGCCCAATGCTCTGGCAATTTAGTTACCGTGGTGGTCGTCCTCTTGTCAACTTTAATGATTACTTCTGTGCATCAAGTAACTTCTGTATCAGTTGCAACTTTGATATAATGAGGCTTGCATCTAGTCATCAGCTGTAACTTATTAGCACGGGATAAACTGGCTGATTATTTCATTTATGCTTGGCACATAACAAGCTGAAGTCGGTGCAAGTGGGACTCCTGTCAATGGGCACATACCGTACTTACTCGAACTTAACGCCGTTTTTTTTTCTCATTTTTCGCCACCTGAAGTCGACGCTCACGTTACAATCACATACCAAAATTGCCAAATTCAAGTTGTCTGAGCAGCACACAGTTCTTTCATTTTATTTCTTTCTTCCCGGGTGCACTGAAAAGTCGCCCCTAGCGTTACAATAGGGGTTAGTTAGAAACGAGTAAATACAGTATTCTGGTCGCTCGAGCTTTTGTATAGCAGGGTGTCTTCAGGACACGACCCGTGCCTGTCTTCGCCCCATATTTCTTTAAAATAATTTTGTGACTTAACTTTCGTTACCTATAAGTTGCACTGGCATTATTTTCACACCTGTTGCTATTAGTACTGCATTGTTTGGGTATGCTACCATATCTACACAATTGTAAAGCGCGAGACAGACGTGCAATTTTCTCTGCGATTCGGCGAGCGGTGCGACGATGCGACTGCCGGAGTGGTGACGTTTCGTGACGTAACATCGCGTCGCACCACCGCATAGCTGGTGCGGCGAGCATCAAACCAGCCAGATATTTTCGTCGCAGCATCGCACCGCCGCATGGCAGCAGCCAATCACAGCGCGAGCATACGAGTGGCGTCATGATGCTAGTGGCGCCATCTTCCTGTCGCCGCTCCCATCACCCGTGGTCCAAGGGTCCAGGCGAGTCGATGGAGCGGGGTGCGAGCGTGGATTGCTGACATCGCCGACTGCGGCGGCGTGACAAACATCGAGTACATTTCCCTGGTGACGTGATATTATTCTGGATTGAATAAAGTGATGCTTGAAGTGTGCCTTTTCTGCACGGCAACGCCTGTTTTGAAACCGCTAGCGAGATCGGAGATCGTGAGCAGCGATGCAAGGTCATTTCGCAGGTAAACACAGCTACCGGCGTCTCTGCACTGGCTCGCTTCGCTTCCACCTTTGCTCTTCACATCGATTGTATCGATAAAGTAATAATGTATGCTAACGCATTACATACGAGCACAATGCTTGATAGTGTTGTCAAAAACAAGCGCTCGATGACGAGCTTGCTTGTGAACGGCATAGGCGACGGCTGGCGCCCGCGATGCTAGGCCTACCTGTCGGAGTTGTGAATAATCAGCTGTTGCCGTGGTTACGACGTGCTTGTCGTTCACGAATGCGATTTATTAATTATTTTTATAGAACGAAGCGTGGCTGTGCAATGTTGTTTGTTCTGAGCCTCATTACGAGGATACCAAGTCGTTCGACCCTGCATGCCGAGGCGCCGCATGGGGGCGAAGCCTGCCGCTGAGAGCTTCTTCGCCCCCGTGTGTCCCAAAACGTCGCATGCGGCACGCCGTACCATGCGACGCCGCACGCCGCATCGCACGGAAAATCGCACGTCTGTCTCGCACTTGAGTCGACTTGAATGTAGCTTGACCCCCCTGAAATTGCACAGCAAAAAAAAAAAAAGCTCTAGTTTCAGTTGCGATTCTAAGTCGACCCCCTACTTCAGGTTTCGAATTTAGATAAAATTGGTTCACCTACAATTATGTAAATACAGTACGCAGCCATGACTGGCCTCAAGCGTTCTTTTTCCTTAGGGCACCCTGTCTAGATTATAACGTTTTACAGATTGGTGTAGGTATGCAGTTCGAATCTTTTGACACCAAATCCACTTTAGAAATGACCCACATATGAGATATGGGAAAAGTCTGAGCTCTTTCAAATTTTTTGTTTAATCCCCACCCTCCTCCGCCCTCTTCTTCGACCTTTTTCTCTTCACTGTCCCGGTCCCTGCAGGATGAAATTTCTCAACTGTGGCCCACTAACAAAGCTGACTTGGAAATACCTGGTGTAGCGAGAGTTTGCTGTAAATAAACAAAGCAGTAATATATTAATTTTCACGGCACGTGAACAGGGCCTGCTGATGTCGTACACGACCGGCGGCGACTCGTACGAGGCACACCTGGCATTGCTGGAGCGGTGGCAGCCGGGCAACCAGGATACGGCCGCGGCTCCAGCCCTGGCTCGGCTTCGGTTCATCTCCGTGGGGACAGAGTATGACCCAAAAGAGCAGTTGATCCGCGACCTCGCTCGAATTCTGGGACCGGAGTCATCGCCGGGCATCCTCCACTCGTGGGGCAGCGGCCCAGCCATTGCGGTCACCATCGTCTGGGTGGATCCAGCCAAGGTGCGTTGGAATTGCTCGCGTATATTTACTAGGCATGTGTTAGCTTTACGGTGAACTCAAACCAAGCAGTGATTAAGTGAATAATTTTGAATCGAATTCCAATGGTATATATCACATATGAAAAAAAAAGAGAGAATATTTGTTAGGGCCCAACTAACCTGACCCAACATCGCCCAACTACTAAACCAACTGACCTAATACATTTTAAAATTTGCTATATTTAGAGCATATAATTTAGTATAACAAGCTTTTAAAGGGCCAGTAAACAACTACAAGGTCCAAAATTGCTGTAAAGAGAAATATGTGCACTTTTACTTTGTAAACATGCTGCCGCAAGAATTTTGCGAATACGTGCTATAATAAGGAAGTTACAAAGGCTAAGAACATCGCGTTCCGCTGCTTTCAAATTTTCGCGCCGTCTCGCCATCCTTTTCCTTCAGAGGAAGGGGAAGGCGTGGCTCGTCGTCGTGACTCCGCCCACTTCGGCAATGTGACAAGTCGTCAGCGATTGACGACATCGGTGAACTCGATCAGTCGCAACGCACTTCCGCTCGCTGCGATGCCTGGTTATTTATCGTTTACCTGGTGCCGATGCTTCTCCACAGCCCAGTCGCTTGATTTGCAGCCGACGACGATTTGCAGCAAAACTGCGTTCCAAAACCCGAACATGAAGTTGGCCCGATTTTTCTGCATTTCGATTTTTGGGAGCAGACTGTCACTTCATCTGGGAGCAGCAACACAAAACGCAAATAATTTGCTTAATAATGGGTGTGCTAATCAACAGGTTGCACGACAATCTGCTCACTCCCAAAGACAGGGTCAGTGAAGTATCCCAATGTCGATGCATAGAGCCTATGGGGAGTTTCGCAACTCGTATAATTGAATAGCTCTGTCGTAGCTGTGGGTGGGAACAGGAAGTGTCGTTTACTTCACTACTGTTTGTTGAAACCTGGTTTAGAGCAGTCGACGAGCTGCGTCACGTCGCCGAGTTGTCGTCACTGCGCGTGCAAAGATATTGGTCAGGCGTAGGTAAAGAGCGCGGGAATTGTTTTTCGAAATGGAGGCTCTGGGCGGGGCACGCAGCTCCTAAATATTCAGAAAACCTGATCGCTGCGGTGTGCTCTACGAATTACCGATCTTGATTGGGGAGTGTAAAAAGAAAAAGTCGGAGCCCGTTGACTGGCCCTTTAAACTTAGTTTTAATACTTCACATATTTTACAGGTTATTCCTGGTGGAGGCAAAATGGTAGAGACTCGTGGACTGTGCAATGCCAGTGTGCGTAGATGGTCGAAATTTTCGAAGCCTCCCACGACGGTATCTGGCATAATCGAGTCGTGGTTTTGGGACGTGGAACCCCAGATATTATTATTTAAAACAAGCCTTCAGGTTTTGGCAAACAACTCTGTATGAACTGAGCTTGCCAAGGTGGCAGCTTACGAATCGGTGGGTATCCAGAGGTGATATTAAAGCTGGATCACAGAAGAGAAGGAAACGTTATGGGAATGAAATTCATGTTTTACGATGCTCAACTTTGCTTGTCTTCTTTTTTTTTTTCTAATCATCAACGTAGCTTTCATTTTTAATATCTTGTGATATTACATTCAACTGCATCGTAATTTTCATCTTGCGAAAATTGGGTACACATTATATTTGAGTGTGCATAAGATTAGAGTGAATATGGTATCTGGAAAACTGAACTGCTGGCATCATGCAATATGAATGGAAACTTAGTGACCTGTCCATCGCTGTAATGTGTTTTTGTTTTGTCTCTTGTTATACACTAAAACCTCGTTGTTTCAAAGTCACTGTGACTGGTACAACATTTCTGCTCGCATACAATTCTTCTTTTAACGGACAGTATATCATTTGATCATTCACTTGCTTTCATCACACTTAACTCAGGTGGTTGCTGGATCGTACGAGGTCCAGGTCGAGGCGGGGCCGCAGACGCTGTTCCATCGCCCTGAGTTCCGCAAGCCCCTTCGCCCTGGCACCTGGACCGTCATGCTGTTCCATCACTGGTCTCTAGTGGCTCAGATGCGCTTCCTGGTCTCTCCTGTTGCCTACCACGACAAGATTAAGCTAACCTCAACAACGATCGCGTCGCGGGTCAACGGCGGGCCTCATGGTCCCTACATCGGCCACGACCTGTCCCGCGTGGAGGAGCACCTGGGCTACTCGGCCGAGACGCGCCGCACGCTCCAGGCGCAGGCGGACGACGACGCGTTTCTCATCGGCGCGGACCTTGATAGATGGGTCGACGCGCTGACGGCGCAGTTCTGGACGTTCCGCGTGGCATGTGTCGCGCGCCATGCATCGTCAAGCAGTGCGTGCGAGTCGTTGACGCCGTGCCGCGAGTGCGCCTGGAGTTCGCATTGGCCGGATCCGACCATGCAGGTCGTGACTGGCACATAAAGCTGCACAGTTTTCTAGATGCTTTTTTTTTACAAGAACTGAAATTTTGGTCAGTATGCAGGAATTCACGTTGAACAAGTAGCGCGAAAGGTCAGGATACAATAGGGAATGAGCATCTCAGACGAGTGCTTTTTTTCGCTTTGCGGAGGAGCTCAGTCAAAGCTCGCACGGCTCATTCTCAATCTCTCGCCCATGACAGCGGAGATTGCTGGCACAAGTCGGCGTGCTTGCTACTTTTGTAGTTGTTAGTCTATAGTGCGCGAGTGTCCTTGTGCTTGATCACTGAGTAGGAGCAAACGCCTCGTGACAGTTCGCCGTCCCCTGCCGAGCTTGCCTTGGCCGTTAGGCCTAAAGACAGAAAAATGTGCCATTTGGTACTTGATCCAACGTGGATGACCAGCTAAAAGCAAAACATACATGAACAGTGTGTTGACGCGCTTTCTGAAAGAGCAAGGAAGGAATAGGGAGATGTCTTTCGTAATACGTCATTGGATGTTGCGGCATAACTGTGAAAGGCGTCTTGATTACATCAGCAGTTCAAATGTAGCCATACGATGGATGTAAAGTTCCACATTAGATATGACTATAGCATTAGCTCTCGAGACCTTCACTGTGAAGACAAAATAATTTGAAGCCGCAATGGGGCTTGCAGCAGCTTGGATCCCACTGAGCATCTCACAATTGGTACGGAAGAATATGTCGTCGATACATTAACCAAAGACAGAGCCACGATTTTGCGTCCAGCTCAAGAAATGTGTTGTAAATTTATGACTGTCTGTTGACTGAAGCCTTTTTCCAAACAGGCTGTCAAATCTGAAGTGATGCTCTCAACCATTCTATGAATGCACTATGGTGTGGCACATTATAGCTGCAGAAGCGTACGCAGTTCGCTGATTTTTAACTTCTGTGAACGTACGCTGATTTTTAACTTCTGTGAACATTATAGCTGCCACTCAGTTATGTTACTTGGTAACCTGACCTGTGTTTGAAAACCTTGGGTTAAAGCTGGTACAGAGCAGTGCATACATTTTTTTCTTATCGATATGAATATTTGAGCATGAGCGCGTTTCAAAAAGAATTCACGAGGCAAAGTGAAAAACGAGTGGGCTGCTGGAGCATCCAACAAGGATGGCACTGACATGCTGCTTTTGTTCGCGTTGCTCTTTTTGTTTAGTTTTTTCTGTTTGCTTGCATTACTTCTATTCAATCTAGGTGGTTAGTGGCAACCATGTTTTCGCTTTAAAAGGCCAGTAAACAGGCATCGACATTTCTTTTCACCTCTCAAGCAAGCTTACGGACTTGTGCAGAAAGCCACGATGATCACATTTTGCGAGTACCACAGCCCTGCGCGCCACGCAGATGCTCCATTTCGGAAAACAACTCCCATGTCACTCTCCTGCACCTGACCAATCTTTTTCGCCTTCGCAGTGACGCAGTTTTGCCCATGGACATTACATAGAACCGACTTTGTCTTTCGATCCTTTGCACTGCAATACGGCACATTGGCCGTGCGGGGATGCAGTTTCGGTCGTGCGTGGTGCAGTTTAATTGTCCTGTGCTGCCATCTACCATTTCGCAGCAGCTGAAATGACTAAAACAAGTGGTATTGGCAGAACAAAAGCCTCAAAGATAAATAGACATCTCATGACTTTAGCAGTGGTGGCTGGAGGTCTTACACGCCACACCATACTTGTTTACCTTGTCGGTGCCTCGTGCCCCTCGTACTGTGCTTCCTCAATGCAGTGTTGTGACGCGAGCGACATGCAGAGGAAGTCTCGCTCTGTTAACTGTGTGCCGATAATGTCATCGTCGACGTCTTATGTCGCCCAAGTAGTCATATTCTCAACAATCACTCTTCTCTGCTAAGAAGGTTCGGAGGGCTGGTCAAAAAACCGAAACCAGCTGAAGCGAGTGGTTGCACGCCCTGTAACTTCCTTATTGCAACACTTATTGCAAAACTTTCGTGGCTGCTAGTTCACATTATGCAGCTGCACCGTTCTCTCTCCATCAGAAATTTCCCACCACGAGGTTGTTTACTTATTCTTTAAGACAATACTGAAGGAAATTCAACGTAGTTAAGCCCTGTTCTGAGCTTTATTTTGAGAAAGGGAAAAAACTAAATTCTCGGCGCACTTGTCTCGCAAGCTTGTGCAAACAAAACTGAGGGGATCTGCCAATATCGATTCGTTGATTTCTTTACTTCTTTAAAAACAGCCAAATTTGTTTTTAAAGAAGTAAAGCAACAGAGTATTCGGTTGACAAGAATGCTTTTTTGGTCAGTAGAGGTGTGTAGTAGAGGTTTAATGAACATCCCGGTTGTGTCACGTTGCGTATTTTGTGTAAAATGATAAAATGCATTCCAAGTTGGCTTGTGCAAGTACATCGCATATGCTGTGCATAGAGAGATAATGAACCTTTTTAGCAAGTAATTTGGATTATCTCACTTAAACTGTGACATCAAGCTGATATATATATATATATATAAGTTTAGTGCACAAAAGATGATTTTAGATGTGTTCTGGGCTACATTACTCATAGATATTTTGTCGATGTGTGTGTTGACAAATTTATCTCAAGTTGTCTCACGTTCAAAGTTTTCTGTCAGTGCTCCTTGGAAGTTTCAGTACAGGTAAGAATGCCGAGTTTTAAAATTCACTCATCTTGACGTCTTCCTTTGAAGGGGGATCTAGCTAAGTTGCCGTTAGCATGTCCAGCTCTTTTCCATGAGGTGCCTTCAAATGCTGTTATGCATGACACGCGAGAATGTCGGTCTAATTTCTCACAGATCTAATGAGTTGGGGCAATTAAAAAAAAGAAGAAATAAACAAATACTTGCTTCGATGTCTCGGAGGGAAAGCTAGTCGGAACATTTAGAGGCTGCGTTTCTGTTGGAATATTTTTGTGTTATGTTTTTAGTTTGTACGGGAGTGCAATTGTAAACTCTGTCTAGTCTACCACTGCAATTCCTGAGATAAGTTCTTGCAGTTTGTGGCATATCATACCAGTGGTTTCTTGACAAGGTAATGCGGTTTTGTCAAGCCATGTTTCCATGAGAATGTGTGCGATACTCACGGCTTTGCAGAAGTTGTGCCTTTGTGTTGTGTTTCGTGTCGACATTTGTTGCACCTTTTGTCACCTTGTAGCATTTGCTACAAATCCTCTAGCACATTCGTGTTATTTGTTGCTGTGGTTCTCTTCGTGGTCATGTTTGTCACCGCACTAATCACATGCAAATAACTTTTCGGGAGTTTGTCAACCTCCCAATAACCGCGCTTTGTATGTCATGCATTTCATGCGTATTAGAAATTTCAATGCTTTTATGGTAATACAGTAATGCCTTGCTAACTCGAATTCCCATGTCTTGAAAAATTGGCTACGTCAGAATTTTCCACGACACCGAACATTTTCCTATACGTTCTATATATATTTTTCCCTTTATCTAGAAAGTATTTTTGGGGCAAATCGTGGATAACTCTAAATCTTGACTGGGAGCAGAACGAAAATTCCACCGCTGGACCATTTCACCAGATTTGGGCAATGCTGCCACGCCTGAACTGTGTTGATTGTTTTTCTTATTTAGCTGCGCCTGCCACTACGTCGACGCTTTCCGCAAATGCGAATAGGGCGGAGTCTGAGCCCAGCAATATATCAACTTTGTCAAGCAACCCTGTGGCACGTTATGTGACACATGCACTGAGAAAGGGGGTCCTCTGCTTATGCTTGGTGTAGTTTCTCTCGTTCACTTTGGGCAGTGCACATGATTTTCCCTGAGGTTTGGTTTTCATTCATCTGTGCAAACCACGCGGTACGGATTTTTCGTTCACTGCGAGTGCAGTGCTCGTGATTTTTCCCGAGGTGTGATTTCCATTCATTGGGCCTGCAACTTAGCGTGAGTGCGGCAAGCATGGCGTCAATGCAGTGCAAGTCGCTATTGCTAGATAAAAAGGTTGCCCTAATTATAGAGATGGAGAAAGGAGGCCGAACGAAATCGAGCATCGAGCAGGAATTCAGCATCCTTTCTTCTACGCTTTCGACAGTGCTGAAAAACAAGCAGTAGGTGCTAGATGGATTTCAGCAGAGCTTCTCCAGCCAGTGTGAAGCGAGTTCGAGGGCCGAAGTTTCGAGACGTTGACGCGGTGTTGATGGTACGGCTTCGAAATAAGGTCGAGTGCAGCGGCGGGGAAGATGACTGGTGCAGTGCATCAAGCAGCTGGAGGACGTCTTCCTAGGTCAGAGTATGACCGCAAAGCAGACGAGCATTAGGCAGTTTTTTTCTGCAAACTATTCTCATGGAGTCGTGACGTGGCTGAAGGGAGTAGACTACAGATCGAAGATGAAACTGGTTATTCGGGCTGAACTTGTGGCCAACAAATAAAAAGTAAGATTACAGCGAGGCACTGGCACTGATAGCAGTGGGCAGATCGTCGGCCGTCGATCAACTGACAAGCAGCGAAGCGTGTCGGCATTTATACCCTTGCCATAGAATATTCTAGCGTTATCGCTAGCGGCAACGTAGGTTCCAGAATGATCTGTAATGTTCACGAAGTGGGCGTAATCTTAACAAAACGATCTACTACAGTCTCGAAGCTTCTCAAACATTGTAGGCATGGTTCGTGCTGAACGTAGTGCAACGGGGTGATAACAAAACTTGAGGAAAGGAATGTGGCAATATATTGGATCCAAATAGGATCAGTATCAGATATTAAGCTGCATGCCAGCATATGTAGATGCCAGAATGCCAGCGATATATAAACGCCAGCAAAAATATCTGTTTCCCTAATAGTCTCTCTCTCTGCTAAATAAAATGGCAATGCGGCACTACCAAGCTGGTAAAGTCTCTTGTATGTTATGTTTTCTTCTTTTAAACCTGCACGAGAAGAAAGATTAAATACTGCCACTGGAGAGCTGGTAAGTAGCAGTGATTTTTCTGAAAAGTGCTCATTTTTCCCGGCCATTAGCACAACTTTGCTTGTGTCAAAAATCTGTATGTCTCAAAATTTTTCCTTATTCTTACGACTTTGAGTTGACGAGGTATTGCTGTGCTTCTGTTGTTGCATTTGTTAGAACTTAATTTGACCGTTGTGTTACTTTGGATCACCTCATTTACCTGCAGGTGTTCTTGATGTTCGTTGTGGGTTTGTGCTGTAACAAACATGTGGTGCTTTTCTATGACATCATGGTATCGAAACGTTTTAAACTCGTAATAACATTGACTCTGCGACCATGCACTCTTCAGAACTCAAATAATGTGCCTTTCACGAAGTCTAAGCACAGAGGTTGCTTTAGCATCGGAAACTGGTTGCCTGTTGGCGCAGCTAACATGGAAGAAAAGACCATCCAATAATTTTTTTTCTATGTGCTTGTAACTCAGTGATGTGGCACATCACTGCAATGCATGTGTGAAGCAATCAAACGCACCTCTTCTGGACAATGAACATGCTTTTCCTAAACCATATCATATCGCGCAAAGCTTTGCTGAAAGCTGGCTCATAATGTGCATCGAACTTTAATAGCTTCATGTACATAAGTATCGCTTGAACGTAACATTGATGTGCGTATCGTAGTCGTGCCATAGTGTACTCGTGTTTTGTAGAGTTAGCCGCTCACACTCTTTCCAGTGTATGTACTTAGTTT